GAAATCCGATGTAAAAGTTGTTTTTCCTTTTATATGGCATCCCAGTCATTTTGATGTGACACTGACATAGTTCTTGTTATGTTTTCTTTTTATAACACAATTTGCATAATTTAAGGACAACACCATAAGATTTACACAATTGAAGGCAACACCAGAAAATGTTATTTCAAGAGTCTTACAATGTTCAGTCCTCCCCAACCCTGTGTAACTTTGTCGTGTCTCATGGTGGAAAAAGCATTGAGGTAGAACGCACAGTTCACACGAAGAAGAGGGACAGGACCAAAGGTTTAAAGGTTCACACAAGGACTGGCTGCCCCAACCTTTCTGATACTCAGGAGATTACAGAATTAAAGGTAGCCCAGCCTTTCCTAGCTATACCCAATTTGAACTAGCCTTTTAAAGATCTAAAATCCTCTTTTATGGGTGGTGCCTGTGGCTCAAGGAGTAGGGCGCTGGCCCCATATACTGGGGGTGGCAGGTTCAAGCCCAGAACTACAAAATAAAAATAAATAAATAAATAAATAATATAATAAAATCCTCTTTTATGGCTATTTTTAAAAGCAAAATACATGAATTCTTATCTTTCTGGAGCTAAGAATGCCCATACAGTATGATGTCTAAATGTGTTTAGGTTAAGTAAAATGAGCAAATATAATCTTAAATAACAACAACAAAAAAATGATGACAACCAGAGTAGGTTTGGGGGAACAGAACTGCTTAGAAATTTGCATCAATTCCCTCTAACCATGAAACAGGCCCAGACCTAACAGCATGTTCCATAGACAAATAGCGTCATTATTTATGACCCTTTTCAACATGCTATGAATAAGAAACAAGTATAGAAACATTTTATTAAGTAAGTAAAAACATAGTCAACAATAGTCAAATGTCACCTAGTTATAACAGGACTTGCTTATAACAGAAGATCAATAATTTATCTGAACATTAATAATACATAGGAGTTTTGCAGAATTAAGAAAGTGTTATTTAATTGTTCCGTGAGTGCAATAGCAACCCATGTTGTTAATAACCAACCCCTCCCTTGGTACTAAGGCGTTAAGCACACATAGGAGAGACACCGTGGCCACAGACAGACTCACACGGGACTCAGAGCATGCCCCCCTTTATCTACTACCACCATGAATTGCTCTGAGAGTCAAGAGCCTATTAGAATAATATTCACTTTATTCATTTATTTATTTTTGTTTTTGAAACAGAGTCTCTCACTCCATCACCCTGGGTAGAATACATAGCACCATCATAGCTCACTGCAGCTTTAAACTCCTGGGCTCAAGCAATCCTCCTGCCTCAGCTTCCCAAGTAAGCTGGCACCAACATGCCCTGCTAATTTCTCTATTTTTAGTAGAGATGGGGTCTCTGCTCTTGCTAAGGCTGGTCCCAAACTCCTGGCCTCAAGTGATCCTCTTGCCTGGGCCTCCCAGAATGTAGGTTTCCAGGCATGAGCCACTGTGCTTGGCATATTCACTTTATTGTTGGATATTAAAATAGTCTAAACATGACAATAGAATTTGGTGGGTGCCATGAAAAGAAGCCAGATCTTAAGAGAAATGAGCCAAAAGTCATGGAAGGATCAAGGTTTTGTAGGTTAAAAAATATTACAATCTTAGGGCCCCTCTTTAAGACAAAATTATAAACATTGAATAATTAATATTTTTATTAACTAAATTACCAGCATACATCCATAATACTATTCTCCCCCCCCCCTTTTTTTTTTGATGGATGTTCTCTGAGCATCTTCTTATAAGACAAAAATGTTTTAACCATTCTATACGAAGCATAGAAAGATGGTTTAGTCTTCCCTCTCAATCATGGTTGGTAGGAAGATGCTGCATTAACAGATATATTCCTAACAAGACAGAACTTCCATTCTGACCAATGGAAGAAGATTGGCTCTGTTGATCAGAGCCAAATCTTCTCTTTATAATGTTACATGGTTGAAATTATCACCAACCGGCCCCTGACTTCATACACCTCAAGCCTTGTGTCTCCCTCACACAACCCTGAGACGGGCAAGGGAACACACCTCTATTGCAAGACACAGCAGCCAGTGTCCCTCACATCAGGTGCCTGGATGCCGTTTCTGCACTTGGAGGCTGGCAATGCACAGTCATTCACAGAAGGGACCACGAAGCACAGAAGTGTATTCCAAAGTCAACGCAGTCTCATCCCACCTCCTCTTAGGTTATTCCAGACTTGCCCCAGGCCACCCCGTATGGCCCAAGGTGCATGGGCGGAGCAGCTAGAGTGCAAAGGCTCGGTTTAACTGACTGAGATTAAAATATCCTCTCTGGGAAAGCTCTGGAAACAAATATCCACGTGAATACATAGCTGGGGCCTCTCCCAGGACCTTGAAAGTGTCCCTTACACATGACAGGCCTGACTGGTTACACTTGGGCAGTTTATAGTAAATCTACATCATTCAGATGAGTGAAGATTAAAGAAAGAATCTCAGAACTGAGACAGCAAACTGGCCAGAAGGGAAGCGGCAGCGTGAGTCAGCACATCAGCCCTCTTCCTGCCTGCACTGCATCCCGGCTCACACGGAGCCACATCACAGCCCAGAGCACCCAGATAGTGCCTGCCGGAAGGGGGGAGGAAATGCATTAAAGCGCGTTGTTAGACCGCTGCAGTAGGTAAAATGGTCAAATATCAGCAGTTTCTTAGGGATTAGCCCAATAACTATTATCCAGATTTAATGAATGCTATGCTCTAGGGAACTGTAACTCCCAGAGTTGCTTAATGTTAGTTTATACACACATATACACACCACACACACACCCCCACATACACACACACACACACACACACACACACAGCAGACAAGAAGGGAATCGGAGAAGTTAAGCACATTTAGGAAGTGCTGAGTTAAACATAGATAAATGAATGTGAAGGCTGCTAGAATTTCCTGAGACTACAATGTACTTATAATGTACATTTTGAATCTCTAGGAGCTAGACACAATATGTAGTGTTTTCCAAACATTGTTTATTTGATGGTAAAACTGTCTTTTCTGGCACTGGGTAGGACCAGTGTTAGAAAATCCTTTCTGTATATCTGGCACAAGATTATGTGTTAGTAAATTTAAGGTGGATGATCATAAATTTTAACTCTAGGACTTCCAAATTAGCATGACTTACTTTGTTAAATTATAATGCCCAGAGCTCAGCTACAAATGCTTTGGAGGTTGGGACCATGGCTATTCCATAGCATAGAAAAAGCACTAGACTAAAAGGGGAATTTACATGGCCCTCCTGCTGTGGGGGCCGTGGCAGCCAGTGGTGTGGGTGGTTAATCTCCAAGGTTCCTTTTGGTAGAATCAGAATAATGGAAACAGAAGACTAAGAATAGCAGAAGATGCTGCAGACACAGGGAGGCCCCTGTCAACACGGGCACCTCTAAAACTAATCATTTCAGTTCAGAAGTCATGATCCTGGGAGCCCGAGATTTCCTCCCCCCATAAGCTCTGGTCTAATTTGTAACAGCATAGGGACAACCAATAGGCAGGTTTCTTTGCAAAGGAATTAACCTATTTTAAGGGATGTTTATGATCAAGCCTTAGGCAAGGGCAAAGGTGGAACTGGAGAAGGAAGAAGAGGTCCTGCCAGGAAGGGAGGTGGAGGATGTCAAGTCCAGGAGAAGCAAAGCAGCCAAGAAATTAAATGACACTGGGAAATGCTCACTTCTTTGGGAACCAACAGCAAACTATACAAAATACCCCAGCGAGGCAGTGGCAGACTCACTCAGACCACAGTGAGCAGAGGCTCCAAGTCAGTAAAATGTGATTTACCTTAAAACTCCCTATCTCTTTTTTCACCTGTTATTTATTTATCATTTTGGCCCTGCTCACATCCCCAAGGAGGGGAGTTGTCTCACATTGCTAAATGATATGGAAAAATTCAAGGTAAAAGACAAGTCAAAAGCGGTAAGAGCCAGGCCTTCAGGTTTGGTTGGTCAGTGCGCTCAGCACTCCAGTAGGCTTCCTATGAGCCAACAATGGCTTCCTAGAAACAGGAAGTAGCCATGGTCATCAAAAAGTGATTATTTTCCAGGTATTATATTCCAAGAAGACTCCGTTGCCAGCTGTTCATATGAAAAGTGAGAGAGAAGCAAAGTCCTCACCTTTCAAGTTGCTCCCTTTACACCTTCCCTCTCCCTCAGCACACACTCTGCACCAAGGCCTCTTACTAGGGTTGCCAGGGACCTGTTTCACTTTCCCATTCTGCAGAATCTCCAGAAAAGAGTTGCAAGTTAAAGAAACAACCAGCTTTTTCTCTTTGAAAAGTGAAACGTGGGACTTGGGGTACCTTCCCTTGAGGGGACAAATGGGCCTGGATTCTGATGGCGTGGGGAAGTAGAGAGCTGAGGCTTTGAGCTGGCTGTGGTCTCAGCTCTGATAGTAATAGGGGTGTCTGGGTCAGCTAGAGATTCTGAACAAGAGGGATGCAATCTTGGAGGTCGGCTCGGTGGCTTCCTTGTGTTGAATCTTGTAGGAACCATTATGCTGTCAGGTTGCAGGACACGTACGGTTTTCTCTAAAATCTCAGAAATACTCCTAATATCAATGCTCCCCAAATAACAACACACATACACACACACACAAAAAAAAAAAAAAAAAAAAAAAACAAGAAAACCTTCAGTTTATCACCATCACAACTTAAATAGGACAATACAGCGGTCTTTCTTCAACTCAACTCTTCTCCAGACCTATCACTGCATTACCTCAATTTGGAAACATTCAAAAAACTAAGATAAATGCATATACGTCAACTTCTATTTTGGGGTTCCCCCCTCCAAGATCTAGTACCTGCAGGGAAAGATTTTAGAGACATTAGAAGACTAGGTGAGAAAACCTTCCTTTGGACTATCCCCTTCAAATTATAACTCAGTTGACCTTTTGGCAAAGCCTTATTTGTAGAATTGACATCCCTGACAATGGTCTCAGTATTAATAAATCACACAGTCAATTAAAGAGGAAAATCTCCAGATGACTTGAATTGATAAACTGGTGTTCTGTGGGGTACAACGGTCACCGTGATATTAGAGTTCTGATGGAAGAAAACTAAAAGAGGACCCTGAGTCTCTGATGCCAGATGTAGAACTGAAGCCCTTCTGAGAAAACAGCGAAGCCTGGGTCTCACCTTTATGAAATGCCAGCCCAGGTGTGGTCCCAGGGTGGCCTGGAGCAGGGATTCTCAAATCCGGTGTTACAGACCTTTGGGACCAGACAATTCCTTGGCTGGAGGAGGGAGGACATCTGTCTTGTACCTAGTAGGATATAGGAAGTTTAGTACCCTATGAGATGCCTACTGTGTGTCTGTAGTGCCCCCATCCAGTTATGAAAAGCAAAATTGCTAAATGTCTCCTTGGGGTAGAGAGAAGAACTACCCCAGTTGAGAACCACTGGTCCAGAGGAAGAACCAAAGCCTTTTATAAAACCTGGATTTTAAATCTGCTCAAGTACTCAGGCAGATTTTGATTGTGATGCCTTGATTTCAAAGCCAAAGAAGAAAAGAAATGTCTTGGTCCAAAATTTTTTTAAGGTTAAATCTTACTAGTTGGGCACCTCAAAACTTTTGAAATCTCAATATGACCCTCGGGAGAATTTCAGATTTTTCAATAGCTCTAAATTGTGTTAAGCCCACCAGGGTGTTGGCTGCTAGAGGAGAGGTAGCCCCCAGAACCACAACAATTGTCTTTAACTTGAATATAGCTCCATGTTTTACCCAGAATTTTCACGTTCATTATCTTATTTAAGTCTGAATGGGTTGTTCATTTACAACTTCCCAGCAAGGACAAAGTCAAGATCATTTCTGAGAAATTTTGGTCAACCACAATAATTTTACTTTTCATATTCTCAGTAGTAGGTACTGATCCTTTCTGATGGTAAATGGGCTTGTCAGGACTCTTGGGCCATTTTAACAGGGAATTAAGATTCTGCCCTCAACATGGAAGTAGATATGTCTTCCTCGTTCCTGTGACAGGCTGAGAAATACTCAAGTGATCTCATTGTTGCATTGTTACTTAAATACGTACATTTAACAGAATATTGGTGTTGATTTACACCACTTAAACTAGATTTTGATCTGACAGAAGATATTTCTTTCCCACTCAATCACACTGTGAGTTGGGCTATGAGAAATACTAACAACTTGGGATATATGATGAGGTTTAATAGACTGGCCCATAAAAAAGTTCTTGTCACATATTAAAGAACAACAAAATAACAAGGAGCTTTAAGAAAGTTTTGTGTTGTTCTTAATCATTTTATCAGCGGCCTGGAAGTACAGGAGTGATCAGTACTAAACTAGTTTTGCATAAAATCTAAGCCATTTTAGGATTAGGTTAAGCACAAGGCTACGATTTACATAAATATCCCACAGAGTGCTGAGTCTGTAATTTATAAGCAATTGTGATTCCCCCATCCCATCCTGATGGAATAACACCTGAAGAGTTAATTTAGCAGAGATTGAGGCCCAGGCCTCATGGGAGGCTCTAAACTCTGTGGGACAGAAAGAAAAAACCTCCTGGGACACTTTGAAGGTGAATGAAGGGCTTTTAATGTGCAATTGGTTTACTGCATTCTAGATAATAAGAGGCTAGAAATATGTACCACACAGCAGGGCTCTTGTACAGAAGTCCTGCGTAATTAGTCACCTGGCCATCACAAAGATTTATGCTTCTGCAATTACAGAATGCATTGCTTGGGTGGCAATGTCCCCAAGTCATCACTTGGTATTGTTTTTGACAAGCAAACTCAAAGACTCCTTCCCAAATCTATTATAACCTGATTTTTGGAAAGGATAAGTTGCTTATGAAAACATTTGAACTTAATAAGTTTATATATGACTCATCTGGGTTCCGTCTGTGGTATTATCTTGATAGCAGAGCCAGGCTGCATGGTTTACTGGCACGCTTTACCCAGCAAGGAGACAGCCAGGCCCATGCACTGCCCAGAAGCGGAGCCCTCCAGGCCAGCAGTTCTGAAGGCACAGACTAGATCAGAATCATCTGAGGCTCTGCCAAGAATGCAGATTTCAGTTCCCCACCCTAGACCTACTGAGTCTGAATCCTGGGGAGAGAAGTCCCCAGAATCTGGATTCTAATAAGCATCAAAGTTGATTCTTCAGCACACTAGAGTTTGCCTCTTGGAAGAGTGATACATGAAATGTGAGGAAAATGGTCCCATCTTTAATTTCCTTCTGTCCATAGCCTCAGACATCTGATTTAAGAAGGGACCAGATTTTGATTGCCTGTTTGGGCAGTCATGGTGATGACATGCAAGATTCAGTTTAAGAGGAAGGTGCTAAAATTAAAACCCAGAGGCCGACAGCCTCATCCTGGTTCACGTTCGTTACCACAACCGCCTTAATTAAGAGACTATTTTAAATCAAACACACACCACAAAAATCTATACAAGACAATAAAAATGCTTACTGGCTCTCTTCACGGGTGGACCTGAGTTGTGACTTTTCTAGAGATGTGGAACACGTGTTACATTTATCAGAGAAAGTCAGAGCCCTACCTCTTTTTTTCTTCACCTTCCAAGTACGATAATTATTTCATTTTGAAAGAAAGCCTTTCCATTCCCCATGAAAGGCTTACAGAAAAGACCATGCCTTCTCGTGTTAGCACTACTCTCATGCATCAGCTTACAAATTCTGATGACACCAGCTTCTCTTTTCTCTTTCTTATGGACCATCCTGAAATCTACAGTTATTATTACCCAATAGCAAAATCCATAACCAAAAAATAGCAAAAATCTTTGTGAGAAGCAAATGTGCACAATGAAAAGAATCTAACATCTCCTTATTACCGCACTTTGTGTCCTATCAACATGACATAGTGCCATCTCATTAAAGAAGGACAACACCTCCTTCCAGGCGAACCATAAGACTTTAGAAATACTTATTTAAGGCAGTGATTTTAAGCCAGGTCTTATTTAAGAGAGAAATATAATACATCTAAATTTTCCTCCTAATTTCAGCCAACTGAAAAATTATTACACATCTACTTTCTATCATACAAATTACATACCATCCTTGACTTTCAGGGACATCCGAACCAAGCTTGTGTTGTTGTAGAATCAGAGTCCAAATGCTTTGTGAGGTTAAGAATTAGAGCCCCATCTTATGCCCCAGCTCTTGAGTACATGCACATGGCCATGAGATAGAGCAGAGCAGAGCAGAGCTCCCTGTGAGTCTGCGGATGTGTGTAAGGGCAGAGCCCACAGTGGTCTGTCCCAGAAGGCTCTGCCATGCCCCACACAGCTGGCAACTGCCAAAGAATGATACAAGGCCCCCATATAACAAAACTCTGTGAAATTGTGTGGTTAAATTCATTTGGAAACATAATCAGCACAGATTCTCAAAGATACTGCCATTTGAAAGTTCTGAACATTCATGCAATCAAGAAGGTGCTAATGTTGCTTGAGGTGCCATTTCTCTCACATATGTGACCCCAGGATTTTGTTTTTAATCACATCTACTCATAGCCTATGGGCGTACAGTTCTGCAATGCACCCTGTTGCATGATTCTGCCAGCACCCAGGTCCTACCATAGCATGTTTCTAAGGAGTCTGGGGATCCCTTGGTCAACAGAAGCTTTGGTTGAGTCTCTAGACCTTGAAGAGCCTGCCCTGAATAGTGTGGGGAGACTCAGGCAAATATCAGATAGGCTTCCAAGGCATTCTGAACCCACTTGGGTAGTAAAAGTAGGAGCAGAAACAACATGGACCTAAGTAACAACATAAAACAGAATGCAAATAAGAAATACATGAGGGATGTAGATGTGCTTTTTGTAGGAAAACAGGCAGCTGAATTTACAGGGGACCCTGTGTCCACTGGAATTGCCACTCCACTGAGGAGTAGGGTGTGGATGCATTGAAGAAGAAATGCATCGAGGATTTGTTAACTGGAATACTCATGGGGTTATAGGAACAGAAAGCAGCAAATTTGAATGCCAAGCTATCAAACCTAGAAAGTGGGCAAATAGTCACTGTCCCAACAGAATTACTAACGCCTGGACCGTAAGGATCAAGTATGGTCATCTCTCAGTTCCAGATGGCATTGGTGCCAGGGCCCTCTCAGACAGCAAAATCATCAAATGCTCGAGTCCCTCACATAAAATGGTTCAGTATTTGCCTATAACCTATGTGATCCTCTGCATACTTTAACTCATTTCTAGATCAGTTACGGTATCTAACACAATGTCTACACATCCCTCATTCATGTACATTCAAACATAGTGTCCAGCACATGGCAAATTCAAGTTTTGCTTTTCAGAATTTCGTGTAATTTTTTTTTCCAAATATCTTTGAGCCATGGTTGGTTGGCCACAGGTGCAAAATCCATGTATATAGAGGGCCAGCTGTACCAACTCTACCGTCCTGATTTTGATGAATTTAAAGAAAAGCAGTACACTTATCTCTGCTATTTTGGTTGACTAGCATCCATTCACACATCCTTTTAAAAAACAATGCCCAGATTTCAAAAGCTATGCTGTGTGGTAGAACTGATTCCCTTCCAAAACTACTGGCTGAGTCTCTCTCTTCCCACTGTATGGCAGGGGAAGAAGAAACTTGAGTACTTTGTAGATTCTAGCAGAGCTCCCACCTGCTGGTACAATCCCAACAGAGGCAGAGAAAACATGAGAAAACGCAGGGCCTTGGTTGGATGGGAGGAGCCCCTGGGTCAAACCATTCGTGAAGCAACTTATCCTGGATGCTTCAGCTAATAAATTCCTTTATCATATAAGACAATTTAATCTGTTACTTTTTTATTACTGCAGCAAACACACACAAAAATCTTAACTGGCAAAATATCCAACTGCTATCTATTGATAGGTTGGATTGACGATAGGAATTTGGGAAACCAGCTCAAAAGGGTGATAGATAAAGCCAGAGAAGCAAAGGGGTCCAGGGAGAAAGGAGTGAGACAGAAAAGGAGACAATTAAGGATGGGACCATATGAAGCATCAGACATAAGGCAAACGTAAGGAGCAGTGAGTCAGAACCAGTAACTGAGAGTTAGGGAGGTAAGAGGAAGCCCAAGAAAGT